TTGTGTCCCCCTCGGTCCGTTCACGATCGTGTTCCTCCGCGGGGCCCGGTGCAACCGCATCAGTTGCACTCCCCAAAGGACGGCCCTGTTTAGAATAATACTGTATTTTTTTAATGTTAGTGTGTATTTATAAACATTTCTCTTAGCATTGTCTGCCATCTCGAATTTTCTCACCTGTTTCATTGCTTATTGGGATTGTCTACTCTTTAAAGGATATATGCGATTCTGCGATTTAGTATTTGTGCAAAAGTACAAAAAGTAGGAGGCATCCCTATGCTTCCCTATGATGCTTACAATGCTGCCTATGGAGCCACCTCAGGTTTTTTTTTTTGTACAACACATTAAGTCAGCGAAGATAATGACCACTTTTTTCACTCTGTCCATCTGATTAAAGGATTTAAAATACATCAGACTAAATTGAGTGCATCGTTAACAAGATTATTTTCAAAGCCTCACCACCCTCTTTGTCTTACATTGTCGGCAGGCTCTAAATTCTCTGATAAGATTCAAGCAAATCACAATGAAATTTGTGTCTTCATGTCATGCTTTATTTTGCAGCTTTGCTGGATCGGCAGTCCTGGCAGATTTATTAAGGAATGGCAGTGTACCGTTTAAAGAGCCTGCAGACACCTTTGTTTCCCTCTGTGTCAGTTCTTTCCAAATGGAATAGAAGAAAAGCCCACTCTGCAGTCTCTTGCTTTACTATGGCAGGAGTTCAGATCCCTGTCAGGCCGATGAAGGACTATTCCAAGTCTGAAAGTCCACTTCTGGCTTGGGCATTGACACATTTGTGAAACAAGCAGCTTTAAGCCCACATAAAAGAAGAAATTAGCCAAAGCTCTGTGGGAAAACACTTACAAAAAGACTTCCAATGGAAGGCCAATTAATTAGGGTGGGTTTTTATGAGCACAGTTTCTTGCACACTGACCTCCTTATAGAAAATGCTCAGGGAACTTGCATTGATAATATGAGCCACTGATTTTTATAGTCTTTCCTATTCTTTGATAGAGTTTTGAGGTGGTAAGAGTGACTGTTATACACTCAAAAAAGGGCATACATTTAAGATGTATGTATCTGAATTGCTAATAAAATTCCAGTTCATTTGGATTATGCCGTTTTAACATAAACAAACAGTTAAACTTAATGTGATGCATATTTGTTAGTCATACATACATTTACAAAGATTGGTCTGCACTCTAAAAATGTTTTATTTGAGTTAAAGCAGGAAGAAAATACAACATTGATTTTATTTCCTGCTTTAACTCAAATAAAAAATAAAAAAAAGACTGCTGACCAATCTTTCTAAATTTTGAACATTATATAGGTCTTGGAACCTGAGAGACTGCAGTGAATGCATTGATTGGAGTCATACATAAATGAAATGAGTAAGATTTCTGTAATAGTACTAATAAACTGAGTATGTTTGATCAATCAATGTTTATTTATAGAGCACATTTAAACACAACCGAGGTTGACCAAAGTGCTTTACAATAAATAAAAACACAATGCAAATACAGGGAAAACAACACAGGCCCAAGGATTGATCCTTGCGGAACACCACAACCAAGAGGAATGATAGTAGATGAGTAATGCCCCAATCGAACAGTAAAACACCTATTTGACAAATAAGAATGAAACCACTGTAAGACTCCAGACATGACAGAAGAATGTTGTGGTCAACTAAATCAAATGCAGCACTTAGATCTAAGAGTACCAGAACCACGGGTTTCCCTGAATTTGTCGTGAGAAGTATGTCATTTATGAGTATTAAATACACAATGACCAGGTTTATATATTTGTCATCAACAAATGCAATTTTATTTAATCTCATACATTTGATCTAACTGAATATTGCTTGTTCCATAGTTATTATAAACATGTTTATACTTTTTAATACTTTTTCGTTGTTTTCACAATGAACAGATGTATGTTGATTCTAAGCAATTTGAAAAAAAAAGCATTTTGAAAATGATTGTTTTAAGTCAAATAAAATATGCAAATAGTTAATAAACTTTTTTGAGTGCGATAATCATACCATTATCTTTTTTTTATCTGTTTCATATTGTATGTACTATATGGCTGACAAATATGCATCACATTTTAAGAACAGGTTTATTAATTTGTTCATGTTAAAGCGGTGTAATCCAAATAAATTAACATTTATATATCAAATACATAAATCTTTATTTAGGCCTTATATTTCACAATATTACTGTTTTATGTATTTTTGATCACATAAATGCAGCCTTGGTGAGCATAAGGACCTTTTAAACCTTAAAAAAAAATCATACCAACCCCAAAAATTTCGATTAATTTTCTATGCAATTCAATTTGTAAGCAATTTAAATACATAAATCTTAAATCTAGACCTAAACATATTTATTAGAGTGTAGTTGCACTCTTTTTGCATCTATCTCTGTACTTCTCTCAAATGCTAAGTCTCAGCCAACTCACATCAGCATTAACAAAAACGCTGCCACATTGCCACAAGTGCCCCCCTCAGCGTTCAACCACACACCCCGCAGCCCAGTCTGAAAAGAGAGACTTTCCCACGATGGACAGCTGTGTTCTCCTGTACAATGCTGCGTGTGTGTATGAAGTGGCCTCTGGCTCTCTCTCTCAGCTGGATCAGACCTGCGATGATGAATGAGGCATGTAATATCACCACACTCGCTGGTATTTCACGAACAAGGCAGTGTCCGCATTCCCGTGCCAAGCAGATCTCCTTTTTACACAAACACATGCTTTCCGCGCTTGCACAAAGACTCATGGGAGAAATCTCGTGTTGACACCACGGAGCGTTCGCACACAAAAAGGTGCGTTTGGGGAGCTTTTAATTGTGACTGATAAGTTATTTCCCACCGGGCCCCTTCCCACATCAGCAGCTTGAACAAAAAGACGAGGCAATTGAGAGATGTAAAGTGAGTCGAGTAAGAGTTTCGTGGATGAATAGACCAAGTCTAATTCCTGCCATTAGCTACACTTACTTGTCTTACAAGGTGCTTTTTTTTCGGTGTGTCCTTCCACACGCTGTCAGCCGGCTGTGCGGTCTCAGTGAAAAGTGGTACGGTTGGTATATAACACCTACAGCCACAGGCACGGGTGGGAGGCGCTGGCCTCACGGAACACGGCTCACTTTACCCCGCTGCTCTGAGTTCTTGCTGGATCATAATGTTTATGATTGTGACATGAGAACGAAACTCCCTGTGAGAAACATGCTTTGTCAAAGTGGCATTATGAAACAGATTGTTCTGGCTTTGAAATCAGATTTGATGAGGCATGCCAAAGCCATTACACGCACATCTGACCATACATCTACTGAATAATATAACAACTACATTAAATTGCTACAAACTGTTAAATTGGTTTGCAGTATTACAATTCTGCTTGCTGTTAGTCTGCTTACATAGTTTTGTTATTCAGTTTCAAATATAAATATAAAAACATATGAAAATTTACATGAACTGTTCTCTATTTTAATATATTTTGAAATATAATTTATTCCTGTGATACCAAAGCTGTATTTTAGTCTACGTCTCTCTTACAGCACTCTCTTTGTCCATCACAAAATATAATAATTTGAACTTAAATCAATCATGTTCATTTATTACTTATTTGGTAGGCATCTGCCTTACGTCAGGGTCCTGTTGGCCTTGATTTAGCAATTATGACCACCTGATTATTATCCAGTACATAAACTGGTTTATGCTTGTATACACACATTAATATATGAATAATGTTAAAGCTTTAAGTAGAAGCAGCAAAGTACAACAGGTCTCTATAGCTTAAAAACCCAGTCAGCTCTGCTTATTCATATAATTGAGCTAAACTCTGGGAAATGACCCAGCTTTAACCCAGCGGCCCTGTTGCGTGTTGTAAAGGAACAGATGTAGTGTAAAGAGACGCACATCTCTCAGATCCAGCCCTCTGCACCTGTTATCTGGGCGCAGGCGAGCATGCTGTGAGCATATGCTGTGAGAGAGGCACCAGTGACCTCCCAGAGTATAGAGTTGCCCATCTCAGTGCTGTTAGCTTTGTTTATCTCTCTTCATGTATTTTCTCTCCTCTATTACTTCCACCTCTCAGTCGGTTTGTGATGCCAGTAATCAGTGAGTGTTACTGGAAACCCTAATAATATATAATATAAACTGCTTAAATCACCACGATTCAAACAGATTTGTTGAATAGATAGAGTTTTTGGTGTCGGTCTCCCTGTGTGGAACTTTTTAATTTAATTTAATTTAATTTAATTTAATTTAATTTTTTATTTATTATTATTATTTTTTTTTAGATAAGCTTGGCTAGTCTGTTGAGTTAACCCTGTTCTGTTTGCAGTCCATGTGACATTTATTAATATATAAAAAACATACTTAATATTGAAATATAAGGTTGATGCTTCAAGACTTGTCACCAAGACTTGTCACCAAAAAAAAAAAAAATCAGAAAGAGAAAAATATCAGAGAACTCAATGTATAAAACATTATTCAATTCAGTGAATTTTTATTTTCTCTGATTGATTTAATGATTTGTCTTTAATAATATTATTATTATTATTATTATTATTGCCGTTGTCATCATTATAAAGAAACAAATGAAATTATTAAAATGGTTACATATTAAATTTTACATGTTTTAATAATGATATAAACTATAATAATAATGATAATAATAATAATAAATAATAACAATAATGTTATGTTTTAATAATAGTAATATTAATAATAATTGTTGGTATTGTTATTATAATTATTATAAATATTTCAGTGTTATTTTAATGATAATGATGATTAAAATAACATTTAAATATAAAAATAATATAAAAGTGTGATTAATATTATTATAAAAAAATATTTTTAAAAAAAAAATGTATTTACACATACCTCATCAGGATCTTTGTGACTCCAAACAAAGGCAGTAAATTCCATCTGATCATAATCTGAGGGTTCAAATCATCAGCAGATTTTGATCTGTCTTTCTTTCTCTGTCTCTGTTTCTCTCAGAGGATCTGGATGACCTGCGAATGGAGGGGGTCACAGGCCTGTTGCCGTCTGGCAGTAAGTTCAGCCAGGGCCGCAGCTCCTACTGTTCAGAGCCCCAGGCCAAAGTCACTCTCAACATCTGCTCAAGGTGTGCAAGGTAAATATTTACACAGCTCAATATTTACCAACAGCTCTCTACTCAATGACTTCACCACACCAGTAAAGCTGCCCCTCAATCTGTGAGTGTCGCCACCTCTGCAAACCTCCATTTAACAAGTCAAGGGTAAACACAATGTGAAAAATGTCATCATCAATGTCATATATCTTAGTCAAGTCACGAGTCACATATTCTGACCTCTGTTTGCTGAGAGGCCACAACCGAACCCCTTTCAGCCGGATATGAGGGCCACACGCAGCATTCCAGCAATCTAGAGTCAAAGCTCTGAGAGCTAAAGGTGAATGAGTACAAGCTGAGGTAATGCACAACGTTCATCTTACTGAGGTGACTATGACGTGTGCAGTCATCTTAAATCTACGCATATGGGTGTTTCTTCAACTATGGGAACTTTTGGCCCTTTGAATTGTTAGAAAATGAACTTCATGCTCTCACTAGTTAAATTAATTTGTCCATGAACACTGATTAACTGTGACTGTTTTCTGTAAGTCATGACCATTTCCACCACTCTGTCATTTACAAAACATTTTAATTAGCATTCTGTTTCAGAAATAATAATTGTGGAATGGACATTGTTTTATATATATATATATATATATATATATATATGTAATGGTTGACTACTTTGTCTTGTTAAGGTAAATTTAACAGCTACAATTTTATGCATTCTAAATACACAGTTAAATATTTTCTCACTTTTTGCATAATTTGACACCTTGACTGGAAATAGAAATAATAAATAAAAAATATATAATACTATATAAATATATAAAATATAATAAAAATATATTCTATTTAAATAACATGTTTAGCATATATTTTTTTACACATTGTGTCTTATTATTCATAAATTTTAATGAAACTTAATTTAACTTTGTTTATGCACACAACCTTTACATTTTGGGGTTGGTATGTTTTTTTTCAAATTACAATTTAGAAGAAATGTTTTAATATATGAACAGTTTTATTTATTCCTATGATGACAAAGATGAATTTTCTGCAGCCATTATTCCAATCATTAGTGACACACGATTTAATGCATCCTTGCTGAATAAAATAAAATAAAATACAATTTGAATGTTTGAACGTTTGAATGTTAGTGTATATAAATAATTTTCACACATTGTGTTTATTTCTCTTTGTTTAGATAATCATATTTTAAACGTAATAATTATCGTATATTCATATTATTTACAGTTGTTTATAAAGAAGGCATTTAAAAAGTAGCAGAAATAAAGGAAAAACTTTAAAATGGTTCAAGACTGTTTTAATGTGACATTCATATGACAACAGCAACAAAAAATAATCTGTTATTTTATATTAAAAATTACCCCGGGCCATAAAAGTGTCAAAAGTTGAAGAAACACCCATCTATGGATGAGAGAAAGCATACATATCTTAAAAGCATTCTAGAAAACAGATAATCTTCATTATCACTTGTTTTCTGTTTTTATTTCCTGGTGTGTAGTTTGTGGCTGGGCAGTATGCTCACATTTCACACTGTTGGCTGTGATAGGGTGCCTCAGCGCTCATGTCCGATGCCAGGCTCTGATATGAAACAATCTGCTGGGTTCAATGGCTGCCATGCTCTTACATCCCCCCACATTTGTTTTGTTTGGCTCTTTCTTTTTTGCTTTTCATTTCTGCCCCATATCAGATTCACCACAGATACTTTAGGCATTCTTCAAAGTCTACGAGATGCTGAACACATCTTTGCACTTTTATCACACAATCACTGTTTGTTTGTGCACTGTTTATCACATTGATGTGGACGCTCATTTGTTTATATCACAGGTTAAAAGCACAGGATTGTGGATACGTCCCATCCCGGTTACATATTTGGATCAGAGCTTGGGTTTCTTGCATTGATCTTTTTTTGTCAGTGAAGGCCGTTTCATGAACACAGCATTCTTTTGAATCTGAAAACCTGAAGAGTTCATCTGAATAATTCATTCATGAATCGGATTGAATCAGTCCAAGTGATTCTCTAACTGATCCTATAAGTGTCTGTTTGTACATCTGGAAGCTCTTCATATACAGTAGACTTGCCAAACAGCAGCAGCTATATAATGTGAGGAAACTGATGCCCATCTCTCTCTCTCTCTCTCTCTCTCTCTCTGTTTTCTTCTCTGTTTCTTTGCCCGGGCATGTGGCTACTTGGAAGACCCAGGCAGCATTTTTCACATTTTCTAAGGCTCAGACTTAGGAATCCTTTTATCTGGACATTTGTTATCTCAAGTGGTCAATGAGTGAAGAACACAGTACTTAACAGCAGTCCGGAAAGTCTGGATGTTAGACACCGTTAAAACATGTAATATTATACTTACGCCCGTCAAGTTCATTCAGTGGATTCACTGATTTATTGGTGGTGTCTATATGGGCAATAATCTGAACGCCAATTTTATTCTAAAGTAAGAAAATTCTAAGAAATACACTACCATTTAAAAGTGTTTAATATTTTTTTTAAAAGTCTCTTATGTTCACCAAGGCAGCATTTGTTTAAATACAGTATTTATTTTATACAGTAAAAACAGTATTGTGAACATTTTTAAATACAATTTTCTGTTTTCATTTGTTTAAAATATATATCTGTGAATTCTAGGGCTGCCCCCTAATAGTCGACTAATCGTTAGTCGATGAGGCTTGGTCAACCAAAATTGTATTAGTCGCTTAGTCGCAGAAAAAAAAAATCCACATGCGAAGTCACGCAGTCTGTCGGGCACGACATCCAAACACTTGCCTATCAATCATCTACCTCAAATATGGCTTATCATCTGATATATGTAAGTATTAGCAACTTTACATGGCCACTCACTCTAATGTTAACCTAGAGAAATGTGCGCTATATTCAAGTGTCTGTGTGGAGTGTGGAAGCTGAACAGTATAGCGCGCTCACTGCAGCACAGATGGAAGCGCCGGTGCAATCACTTACTCCTAAAATACTCCGTCATTTTTACTCATACAGATAAGAATAGTACATCTTTCGAATCTGTAAAGAGTCTACGTTTATTTGTGTGCACTCACAACAATAACAACAAAACATTGCGCTTTTGTAAAATAATGAAAGCATGCGTGTGCTTGATCGCTTATTAGGCTATGTAGGCAATTACAATTAAATTTAAATGGTTTATTAATAAACGTGCAAATAGTCGACTAATTCATAAAATTAATGACTACTAGTCGACCAGAAAAATTCTTAGTCGAGGGCAGCCCTAATTCAAAGCTGAATTTTCAGCAGACATTACTCTGGGATCTCTCAATAAACTGATATTTATTCCTTATCTGCCCGTGTCTGTCCTCTTCATGTGATGGATGAGGTGGTAGACTACAGCCACACATGCTTAGGAAACAGCTCATCTGGAAGTAGCACAATCGCTCTCCGATTTCATCTGCTCCTTAAATTGGCAACAGATATGGCACTTTTATATTACGTATAGGGTACATGAATGAAAAAGTGCATCTGATCCATTGCAGGACATGAGTGGGTACTATAAAATGCAATATGTTATAAAGTACATCTTTCGAATCTGTAAAGAGTCTACGTTTATTTGTGTGCACTCACAACAATAACAACAAAACATTGCGCTTTTGTAAAATAATGAAAGCAAACATGATGCGCTTTCTGCCGTCTCTATTCTCAAGTTCTGTGAACTTGAGCGCGAGCTCCGTGTATATATCTTTGCCTTACAGACATTAAAAATATATCTATAGGGGTGAAATGTCTACTTTCAAATGAACCAATTCAAATGAAAGTGAAGTGACATGTGGCCAAGTATGGTGACCCATACTTGGAATTAGTGCTCTGCATTTAACCCATTCAAAGTGTACACACACAGCAGTGAACACACACACACACAGTGAACACACCCGGAGCAGTGGGCAGCCATTTTTGCTGCGGCGCCTGGGGAGCAGTTGGGGGTTCGGTGCCTTGCTCAAGGGCACCTCAGTCGTGGTATTGAAGGTGGGAGAGAGCGCCGTACATTCACTCCCCCCACCTGCAATCCCTGCCGGTACGAGACTCGAACCCGCAACCTTTGGGTTACGAGTCCGTCTCTCTAACCATTAGGCCACGACTTCACCCTAAATGGAAAACAAATATTCTTCGATTATGTAATCCGAATGAAACATGCATACAGGCGCATCCACTACTGCGGAGATGACGAGTCAGTGTCGCCGACTTCATCATCTTACTTAAGCCGAAAACAAAGAAAGCACTAGTTTATCAAATTATTAAAATGTTAATACAGTCTCCTTACTGTTTTTCCCTGACCCATTCATAATCATTACTTCTGCTCGTGCGCTGTGGCAAGCTTTATGCGTGTGCTTGATCGCTTATTAGGCTATGTAGGCAATTACAATTAAATTTAAATGGTTTATTAATAAACGTGCAAATAGTCGACTAATTCATAAAATTAATGACTACTAGTCGACCAGAAAAATTCTTAGTCGAGGGCAGCCCTAATTCAAAGCTGAATTTTCAGCAGACATTACTCTGGGATCTCTCAATAAACTGATATTTATTCCTTATCTGCCCGTGTCTGTCCTCTTCATGTGATGGATGAGGTGGTAGACTACAGCCACACATGCTTAGGAAACAGCTCATCTGGAAGTAGCACAATCGCTCTCCGATTTCATCTGCTCCTTAAATTGGCAACAGATATGACACTTTTATATTACGTATAGGGTACATGAATGAAAAAGTGCATCTGATCCATTGCAGGACATGAGTGGGTACTATAAAATGCAATATGTTATAATTGTTTATAAAGCACAGAGTAGCCTTTTAAAGCAAACCTGAGCCACAGCTGCCAAAAGCATCCGAGATCCGACCCCTCTCTGCTATTATGGGGGGACTGACCCGATCAAGCACAGCTGTGTGAGTCATGCACCATCATTATTTTAATTATTCATTCCAAAAATTATGCTGTATGAAAAGGAACTGCCTCAGATGGTGGGCTAGGTCAGATCTGGTTTTTCTTAGTGGCTTCTGAACGTATGAGAGAGAATGAGGGAGAAAGTTGTAGGTGGATTTGATATATGGATAGACGGAGAGAAAAATAAAGTCGCAGTAGCTGCAGTGAAACAGCAAGGCAGGTAAAGCGGTAAAAAGAGAAGGAGTTGTTTTCTTTTGTGATGATCATGCTTATTAGCTGCCCTGATTGCTTACGGGAAAAGGCACGCAATGGCAGCGCCGAGAAATGTGAAATGAATCAAGCCTGTCATTTGCTAAGTACAGCATTTGGTGATTTACAGTTCTGAAGTGAAATCGCTCCAAAATAACAGTTTGCGAATACAGCATTGTTGAAGAATAAGGTATGACAATTACACTGCTGTAGGTCTTCATTTTCCACTCTAGGAAATTTGTGAGACTGGAACGTTTTAATTGGATGCACCTACTTAAATCACCTGGAATGATCCTGGCCACACAAAATATATATATACAGTATATACTGTATATTTTTAAGCATACTGATTTTCACTGCCTTAAAGGAATAGTTCACTCAAATATAAAGGTTTGCTGAACATTTACTCCAAGATGTAGATTAGTTGTGTCCTCATCAGAACAGATTTGGAGAAATTTAGCTATACAACACTTGCTCACCAATGGAGTGAATGGAATATATAATATAATCCTAAACATTGTAGAATTCTTTGATGAATAGAAAGTTAAATGAATACCATTTATTTCAAATTTAAATCTTTTGTAACATAATACTTTACTTTTTATCAATTTATTGCAGCCTACATAATAAAAGTATAATTTTTTTTTTCTAACTCTTACTAACCCCAAACTTGTGGATGGTAATGTGGTTTCCACAAAAAATATTAGACTGTACAACTGTTTTCAACAAGAAATCATAAGGAAAAAAGTTATTTTCATTTGTAATAATATTTCTGTATATATTGCTATATTGCTGTATTTTGGGCTAAATAAATGTAGCCTGAGACTTCTTCCAAAAACATTCAGAAACCTTAATTTAATTTTATTAACCCTATGCATAATGTATATATATTTATTTATTAAGTGCAAGAAGCCAAACTTTTTTAATGCAAACAAACAAATAAATAGATAAATAAATAAATATTACATTATACATTTTTTAATTATTTAAATGTTTTTTTCTTTGCATTTTTTCCTTGCATTTTTAAAATCTTTTTTACAATATATATATTAGAGTTGGGGTACTCGGACTCATACTCGGACTAAGTTCTCTTATGAATGGATGCCGTCAGAATGAGAGTCCAAACAGCTGATAAAAACATAACAAAATTCCACAAGTAATCCACACAACTCCAGTCCATCAGTAAACATCTTGTGGAGCAAAAAGCTGTGTGTTTGTAAAAAATAAAAAAAATACATCAAGGCATTTTAAATGTAAACAGTCACGTCTGGCCAAAATACCAGTCCATAATCCAAACGCATCCTCCAGTGAAAAAGCCAATTTCCTGTTGTCCTTTCACATCAAATCCACCATATTTGTTTTTGTTTTGGACTGTTTGTGCTTGTAAATGGTGCTTTTTTCTGTGCATATTTCTCTACTGATTCAGACAAAATTACCTTTTCACTGGAGAAAGCAATATTATGGATAGAGCAGTGGTTTGAAGTTAAAATTATGGATTTTTAAAATAAAAACATACTGCTTTTTGCTTCATAAAGCATTAACTGATGGACTGGAGTCATGTGGATTACTTGTGGATTACCGTGATGCTTTTATCAGCTATTCAACTCATTCTGACCCCACCCATTCACTGCAGAGGATCCATTGGTGAGCATGTGATATAATGCTAACTTTGTTTACATACAGTATGTTCTGGTTAAGAAACAAACTCATCTATATCTTGGATGGCATGAGAATGACTATATTTTAACTAAATTTTTATTTTTGTGTGAAGTATTCCTTCACTTTTTTAACGTTAGTTAGTGTGTAATGTTGCTGTTTGAGCATAAACAATATCTGCAAAGTTACGAAGCTGAAAGTTCAATGCAAACGGAGATATCGTCTTTTAAAATTCAAAAACTGCTGGTAGGGACTATAACAAATTACTTCCCCATTCTGACCCCACCCATTCACTGCAGAGGATCCATTGGTGAGCATGTGATATAATGCTAACTTTGTTTACATACAGTATGTTCTGGTTAAGAAACAAACTCATCTATATCTTGGATGGCATGAGAATGACTATATTTTAACTAAATTTTTATTTTTGTGTGAAGTATTCCTTTTAGGATCATGGTAGTACAGTATATATAGTAAGATGGCCATAAAGAGATAATTCACCTGAAAATGACAACTTTGTTGCCTTTCTTTCTTTCCTAGACCACAAAAGGAAATGTTCATGCTATCAAGCTCCGAAAAATGACAAAAAAAAAAGGCCCATTAAAAATATCGGCTTTTGAGATTGAGTAAATGATGAGCATATTTTTGGATGAACTGTTCCTTTAAGAACAAGCCCTCTTTAGACAAGCTCCTAATCCCAGCATCCTCTGAGATAGGACATCATAAATGATGGGTGTTTGAGACAGCTGCACAGTTTGGCGATTAGTAGATTGCTGTCAGCTCTTAAGCGTTCCCCTATGTTACACTCTGTCTACATTCCAGCCTGCCCATATCCTCATCCTCCCCTGATAGTGATAAGACAAATAGACTGCTTTGGCACGGTCTCATCACCTTTTATGAATAGAGACTCACTGTCTCCACTTGTTCTCATCCAGCAAAGACACTGGGTAAAAATAGAGATTTTATTTGATACTGATCCATTACACAGAGTTCTTTCATAGCCTCAGCAGAGAGTTTAATCAGAGCCCATCGCCTATTTCTGAGGGCGGAGCTTCATAAAAGCAGGAAATGATCAGCGCATTTCTCATAGAAGGGACAAAGCGGTATGGAATAAAGGTAAATTATGTGAAAAAGAACATGATAGTATTTTCACTGTTATCTTCCACAGCTATCATAACTGTGGGGAGAAATGCAAGCCACTTATTTGAAATTAAAACCTTTTATGCTCAATTTTTGTATTTTTTAGGCTTCAAGGGGACAGCCTAACTGCAAGGCCTGAAGAGGAACCAGCACCCCATGTCCCAGAGCAAGCTGTGCCAGAAATACCTTGTAAGCACCTACAGTCATCACTTAAATTAATGGGGCATGGGATAGCATTTATGTATGGGATATAAAGTCGTGAAAAAGAATGTTTTTTTTTTTTAAACGAAGCATTAACACATGTTAGACTGCACCCCATAAACACAATCAAGCCTAGAAAAAAAAACAGTGAACCACCCCTTTAAGTTCTGTTATTGCTACACACTTACACAAAACTTTATGTCAAAATGCCCGTCTTGGAGACTATTCATGTAAATGCAGTAGGTTTTGTCTTAAGTGAACTTGAACAGTTGGGAGAAATACATATGTGTCAAAATATTTGATCTATGCGTCAGATCTTAAAGCAACAGCGTAAACCTGCAGCCGCCGACTGCGTCATAAATGTTAATCAAACAAAATTATTTTTGAAAAATATTTTTGTATTTTTGAGTAATATATTTATTTATCATTTAGCTTGTATGTAATACTTGGAGTGTTTACTTGCCTTCAGTAAGTGAGAATGTTTTATTACATTAGTTTATTATTTTTTGCTTTTGTATTAGTGGCAGTTTCTAGCTTCAAATAAAAATCTTTTTTCTAACATCTTTGCGGCAATAGTTTTTATGGATCCAAAATCACCTTGAGTTTGCATTATTTTTTTAATAATTCAACGGCCTGTCATCAATTATTCCTTACATAATGTAATTTATTGTAATTAATGTAACTATAAATGCATTCAAAAATAAAATAGGTGTGAGTTGCCTTTGACTTATGGAAAGTATATGTAGGGCTTTTATACACAGTGTGTGCCATTGTACAGACCAGGTTTATCCCTCACAGCCTCATTTTCATCCAAGAAAAAAATCTAAATGCCCTGTTTAAGGGATCCGTGTAGTTTGGCGTCCATTCATTTTTCGTTTTTCATTTTTTTTAACCCAGAAATTAAAATGCAGTTTCTTCTTTAATGGTTCAAACACTGATGAATAGAATAAGCAGACACAAACTAATTTTGATTATTCAAAATTCATATTTCATAAAAAATCGTAAAAATGCAATAAAGCTTGTTTTTTATTGAGATAAAAGGTGCATTTT